AGAGAGGAAACCGGGAGAGAGAGAGAGAGAGAGAGAGAGAGAGAGAGAGAGAGAGAGAGAGAGAGAGAGAGGTGAGGTAAAAAGAAGAAAAGAAAGTTAGGATTCCAGTAGTATGGGGATAGTGCAATTTTTGATGTCCTGAAACTGGGTCACCTCACTTAATGTATTAATAATATTTATTTGCCTCATGCTCCATCAGGAAGACAAGGGGCCCTTTGGGGCCAGGAAATCTTTACTACAGGCCTCTGCCTACTCCAAAGACTCAAGGTGGGACCATGTGGCCTTTTTCTCTTGTCCCTTGAGAATAGCCTGGTGTCTGCCTTGCCAGGAGGGTCAATGAAGCAACACTGTGCATTCTCCTGCCTCCATGTTTCAGTCACTCACCGTTAGACACAGATAGGTGGATGGGATCACTGACCGGTGCTCCCCGTGTTTGACATCGATACACCCCTGGTGTCTGCACCTCAATGCTCTTCTTGTGGGAAGGCAGGAGGACATGGCCCAGATACCAGAGAGTGCTAATGGGCCTGAGTTCGAGCAGCAGAGGGTGGTATCCATCGCATTGCAGTGTTACTCGCTCCCCCTTGAAGATTGTAGTCCAAGGTGGGTGTAGAGACAATATGGGCTTCTCCAGAGTAGCTGGGGGTGGGGCGGGGCATGGGGTAATGTGAGCAAGAAAAGTAAGGTAGGATGCCTGCCCAAAAATGAAGCCTGAGGTTGTGAATTCTTGGAAAACACCAGTTTCTGGGACCCAGTCCACATATGAACCCACCCTGGCCATAAGGGAGACCACAGTCATGGGGCTCCAAACAAGGAATCTATTAATCAGAACTCATTTCTGAGCATCTATGCACAAGAAGACTTAGTCACCAAGATTGAGCAAGAGTAGGGGGAAAGAACCATCTCGGAACAGCCAGGAACTGGGCGTCTACCCTAGTGGAACTTATCAAAACTTGGATGAGAGATGTAGAAGACTCACCAGCTTGCCCACTGCTTGGAACTGCAAAAGCAAGAAAGAAGGGAGAAGGTGAGGAGGGTTCTCTGTGACAGGAAAGACTGAAGAGTCTGAAAGCCTCACATCGAGTCACCTGGCTTTGAGAAAGTTACCTCAATCTCATCCTTCCAAAGCAGATTTTGAACCACCTGAAACCTGAGGGAGGTCTGCATAGCCAGATCTCTTATCCCACCTACCCTGCCCTGTCTTACTCTCCCCACAAACCTGCTGACGCTACCTCATTGCTAACTCACCCAGAAGCAGGAGGGCGGCAAGTGTCCACATGACGAGTCTGCCTGTAGCAGCTGTAGAAGGTTGAGGAAACGCTAGCATTGAAGACAGACAGAGAAAAAAGGGGCAGCTAGTAGCTGATACTGAGAACTAGGAGACACTGTTGCTTCTTCTGTCCATTCCTACTTCCTGAAGATGGTGGAGCAGAGAAAGCAGGACATCACCTGAGTGTACCACTCACTTATCCCAAGCATCAGGCACTGTCCCTGCTACTGCCTTTGTAGCCATGTCCCAGCTCAGTCTAGCCTTGACTTCTATAGAGAAGACCTATAGAGCTGTGCCTTCTACAGCACACGAGAGCCACACAGACCCCAGGCTCCAACAGGTGCTATCTCACTCCCTCTCCATTCTTTCCCCACCAGCCAGTCCTGTTGATGTTCACAAAGCCCATCTTGTTTCTGCTTAATCCCTGAAAGGTCAACGTTGAGTTCCTTGAGCTCACATCTTCCCACAAAACTAGTAACCAGAAAGGAATGATTCAACCATCTGGCATGCCCCTGCTGATCTGTTGTGCCCCAGTCAAAACTAGAAGTGTAATGTATTTTCTCCTCTTCCTTTCCTGGAACCTGAAACCCTCAGAAATTAGGAAAGTCTCCTTCCCTGCCCGCTTACAGCGAGCTCGCTCACCTTATAGTACCTCCGCTCACTTGTTCTTCCTTCTTTCCTTCCACCAGGCCCTAATACCCCTCCCCAGGCATGTCCTAGTCCTCTGGGCTTGTGGCCTGGAAGAATAGTCACTACCTCAGCCTCTTCAAGGCTTCTCAGATCAGATCTCTCTGCTCCGGTTCTCCTGAACTCTGAGCCATGTGACCACACCTGAGCAATGAGGAGCCTGAATTTTCATGTAAATATTTAATGAAGTTTCCAACCTGATACTATGTCTCCCTGAATTCTATCCTGTCCACTCTTGCAGCTGTTTAGAACCAGGACACCTGCTTTCCTTGGAACTCTAGCAGGAAGGAGATCAGTGGTCAGATATGGTCAGCTCTCCAAGATCACATCCTCCAATTTTGCTAATGCACCCAGTGTTCCTCTGAGAATCCCCTAATATTGTAGTGCAACGTGCTTTTCCATCTTAAAATACAAATGTCTCTGAGGAAAGTGTGGCAGGATGTTTAAATTATGCTGACTGTTTTGGATCTTGCTTTGGGAGGAGGATTTGATGGGGAGAGTAAATAATGTAGGTCTGAAAAGCAGGAAAGTATCCGATAAGGTGAGCAAGAGTTGGGGGGAGGGAAGAACTAGATACAGAGAGCAGAGATGAATGGCCTGTTTAGACAGTGCTCCTATGCTTGCCTCCTCATCTTGTCTCCTCATCTTGGGACCAGTGTGAGACTCTTCATGTCAACCACAGCTTGTCCCTATGGTCTGACTTCTGCACAGCCCACTACCTTATGATAAGAGTGCCACACACCTGTCAGCTGTCCTAGTAGCCTTTACAAGTGGACTCTATTTTGGCTTCTCATAAGCCAGAACAAAGATCTCAACCCCTTTACTGGATTCCAGAAGAAACCAGATCACACCAAAAATTCATGTGCTATGTAGTTTTTCTTGAATTCCTAGGAATCGGCTACAGAGTTCATTAACCACACAGATAACACTCAGAGTTTGACCCGAAAAGTACCCTGCCCAACATTTGTTTATTCTATGCTTCCCTCCAAATTTCTCCTAAGTGCGTCTTTTTTCTCCATGCAGGACCCTACCCACGAGGGTTTTAATTCTTCACTCCTATGTACTTCGCCAAGTCCTTTAGCATGTAGACAAATTTGGAAATTTTTGTTACTTGGGGTTCTGTTTTTCCTTTTTAAGGGCCTTGCCATCCTGTCCAGCCTAGTCTCAAACTCTAAAGTGAGCTAAAGCGTTCCTCTTTTCCTCAGCCCTGTGTGGGGTGGGACAACAGGCATGCATCACCATACTGGGTTTGACTTCTTTGAAGTCTGTCACAGCATAACTTCCTGGCAAGATACGCCATTATCTGGTAGGACTGTGGTAAGTAGAATGCTCTCCGAGATGATGAGGGGTAATGAGAATAGCTCACGATTAGGGAGTGCACCAGCGTGTGACAGATACCAAGTTAATGCTTCACAGATATGGAAAATTACTTAGTTCATTGCTCACAGTGGGGAGGGGCTTGAGGGAGGGATTATTACTAGTTCTGTTTTACATGTGAGGGAACTGAGGTGACAGAAACCAGGGATGCTTGAGGAGAAGCTCACTCCAAGATCTGTTCTCAAGTCCATATCTCGTTAGGGACCCACAGTGCTGCACAGGGAAGACTGTTGTCTTCAGTCTTCATAAGTCTCCTTTCATTTCCTTATTTTCCTACTGTTACCCACACCACCACTCTTCTCCTCTACATATTGGCACCTATCATATAATGTTTAATGTTTAATATATATGTATGTGTATGTTCTATTTTTTAATGTTTAATGTTTAAGTCTGTTTTGTCTGCATGAATGCCTAGTGCCCGCAGAGGCCAGAACAGGGTGTCAGATCCCCTGGAACTGGAGCTACAGAGGATTGTGAGCCACCATGTGGGCATTGGGAATTGAACCTAGGTCCCCTGGAAAAGCTTAGCCATCTCTCCATCCCCTATATCCCCTACATGTATATATATTGGATCTTAGGTAATATTTAGCATTATTAATTTACATAAATAGTATATTCTAAATGTTGTCTTTCTTGATTTAAAATTAATTGCATGTAAATTTCATTCATGTTGCTCTGCATGCATCATGTTAACTGCTTCATGCTTCACCTGTCCATTCTCTAATGCCCTGCTTACTTCCCAGTTCTCCACTAGTCTAAACAGTGCTACAGTGAGCTTCTTTGGTGCACACTGTGAGGGATAAATGAAAGAAGTAGGACTTGGAAGCCTTAGAAAACAAACTGGCACTTAGTTCTTGTGCCTTCTACGCTCAGATCCTTCCTGGAAATATCCTCACAGATCCACGCAGAAGCAGGACTCTTAGTTGATTCAAGATCTGATCAAGTAAACAATCAAGCTGCATCAGCACACCCTTGAAGGTACTGGGAACCAGCATAAAATTCATTTACCATCATTGTGACCCTAGTTCTTTGTTTCTTTGTAGTATATCAAAAATGATCATGTATATATTTGTTGTAAATTATTTCAGGCTACATCATAAAAAAAAGCAATTAGCACAAAGAGAGACCACAGTGGGAACACAACTCTACATTATGCAGGATAACGTGGTAGAATATTCATTCACCAAGGCCATAATGTTATTAATTCATCAACCAAAGATTATATTAACGAAGGTTATTGCATAATTTGTCAGGCTAGCTCTTATCTCTTATCATTTGAGAATGGACAATAGTAGTCCAAGCATAGAACAAAGGACTGTGGCTATGATTAACGTCATTAATGATCCTTACAGAGATTAGCATCACCAAAGAGAAGACAAACACACTGCATTGAGATAGTAGAGAAAGTGTTGTAGGAGAGATTCCTCCCAAGTGCCTGAAGAAAAGGGATCTAAAAAGAAAGAGTTCCTGGGGACCCTGCTGGAAAAGGGCGGTGTAGGGAAATGTTATTATAGACTGAGTCACTCACTGCAATCATGATAAAAAGGGAGCCTGACTACCTCCCAGCTGTCAGCAGAGCTTAGTGCTGTCTACATGGTGCTGGTTTTGCAGGCATGCAGTTACAGGGGTCATGAATGCTTGCATTGAGTTTCCAGATAGAGGCCTGTGAAGTAAGGCAATACATACCACACGTGGTCAGATTCCTTGTAGACAGCCCCTGGGTAGGTTATGTGTAAAACTGTGAAGGTGAAGCCTAACTGTAGTGGAGACCCCGGGATGTTGTAGATATCAGATTTGGAACATCTGCCAAGAAAAGATGCCGGCACCAGGTAGACCCGGCCAGAGAGAGCCCATGTGTGCTTCAGGTATCAGGACTGGGGCAATGCTGCCCAAGCCCATGGAGACTCATCATGCCTCTACATGCCCTGGATGCTGGACATGGAGTGTGGTGGTTTAAATGAGATGTTCACCATAGTCCGGGCATTTCCATACTTTGTCCCTAGTGGGTGGGTGGTTGGGGAGACTTAGAAGGTGTGGTCTTGCTGGAGGAGGTATGTCACTGGGTCAGGCTTTGATGTTTAAATAACTCATGACATTTTGAGGTCACTCTCTCTGCTTCCTGCTTGAGCTCTCAGCTATTCCTGCCACTATGGCTGTGCTTGCTGTTGCTTCCCTGCAATGATAGTTGTGGGCTCTTTATTCCTCTAGAACTATAAGCTCCAAATAAATCCTTTATTCAGAAGTCACCTTTGTCATGGTGTTTTATCACAGCAATAGAAAAGTAACTGAGGCACGGAGCTATAGGACTTAGCATTTGCTCCACTGAGTTTCAGTCGTTCTTTGGTCCAGTCTTTCCTTGCTTCCTCGTTTGGGAATGGGAATGTTTATTACATGTCACCATCTATTGGAAACATGTTTTTCAAGGGTTCACAGTTACATGTTTGCTTTGAGTCTCAAAGGCAACTTGAGACTTTTGAATGGTGTTGGGACTATTAAAACTATAGAGACTTTTGAAATTAGACTGAATACACTTTGCATTATGAGATGGCCATAAGCCTCTGGGGCCAGGGGTGAAATGTTAGGACTTGACCTCATGGGCTCATGCTTTGGATGTTTAATGCTTACATTCAGCACAGCTTTTCAGGCTGTGGAGCCTCTTAGGAGGAGGAGCCTACCTGGCAGAGTTAAATCACAGGGGGTAGGCTTTTGAAGGCATGCCTGCCCCTGGTTCTGGCCACAGTTTTTTCTTTCTTGCCTACCAAGATGTGAGCACACGCTCCTACCACCAGGGACTGCTGGTCTTTCTGCTGTGCTTCCCTGTTTGTTGTGATGGACAGCAACCCTCTGAAACTGTGAGCCAAGATAAACCTTCCCTCCTTATCTTATTTCTGCCATTCATTTTGGTTAAAGTGTACAAAAGCAACTGCTTCACTAGCTTTAGGGCTTTCCTCCATAGAGATACTGATCCTAGTCATGAAAGCTCTGACCTCACTACCTAATCCCCACCCAAACGCTCCACTTACTCATGCCATCGACTTGAGGATTAATATTTCAACATGGGGGGGGGGTTGCTGAGAGATAGCTCAGGGCCAAGAGTGCTTGCTATTCTTCCAGAGGACAAGAGTTCAGTTTCCAGCACTCATATTGAGCAGCTCATAACTGCCTAGAACTCCAGCGCCAGGGGATCAGATACCCTTCTCTGGCCTCCACAGGATGTAAACCCATGGGACATATACACTTGCATACACATAAAATTAAGATTTCCACATAGGTTTTTGGAGTAGGAGGCACATAAAATTTCAAATCAAAGGACTAATTAAACACTGGCATGATATTAATAGTTGTTGAAGGAGAGTGATTAAAAGAGATGAAGTCTCAAATCAGATTAACACCCAGCTTTTATGAGCCCCATATTTTATAACTTTAGCACTAATAAAATTGGGGGACAGGAAATCTTTTCTTGGCTGTCCTGTGCATTATACGATGGTTAGCAGCCTCCTTGACTTATTAATGTCTTTACCTATTAAATTCTAGTAGCACACCTGTCCTCTCCACCCTGTTTGAAACCCAAAATATCTAGGGGACATTGCTAAATGTTTGCCGTGGGAATATAGGGAAGGGAAATTTCCCCCTCTCCAACTGATATTGCAGTATTAAGTCCACTTCCATTGCTTCTCTTTAAATTCTATTCTGGGAAACAGAAAGAAATTCCTGGTCTAGGGTACAGAATGACCTTGTTACAGTCAAAGAAAATACACAGCTATTGGAACCTTCTGGATATCACCTTGTACATGTTTCTTTACTCCCAACCAGCCCCATTATTCTAACCAAGTACCAAGACAGCTTGCAAAACTGTTTCTGTATACATACAGTACAGAAACAGCTGTAATTATTGTGGTGGTTGGGCATATCACAGATGAATAGCTTGCTTTCATTTGTCAGCAACCTTTGTGATACCAGGCTTCAAGTAGACAGTCAATTCCCTCAGCTCCACGACCAGATGACCAAGGAGAACTTTAACATCCTGCATTTGTTTGAGAAGCATCTGTATCTGGTGAAGTAAGTGAGGGTCTGAGGAGGAGACTCGCAGGTGCTCAGCAGAAGGAGCAGGTGGTGGACGAAGAGGACCAGGGGGCTCCATAGGAGGAGTTTCTGAAGCAGTTGGTTTCTGAAGAGCTGGATTCAAAATGGAGGAATCGACAGAATTTAAGGGACCTGAATTATTATGGGCAGGAAGTACATCACATACAAGTCAAATCTGGCTGGGCATGGTGGTGCAGACCGGTAATCCCAGTGCTCAGGAGGTGGAGGCTGAAGGAGCATTGCAAGTCAAAGGCCAGCCTGGCCAACATAGTGAGCTGTGGTCATCCAGGAACACAAAGTAAGACCTTATCTTAAAATAACAAATTCATGAATGAATACATAAAGATGATACCTGAGTGTGGCCCTGCCCTCACACTGTTAGCTACTTAGTGAGGCAGGCACCTTCAGGGGCAAACTCCTGTATGAATCTGCCTTCAAAGTGTTCTTTCTTTTATCTCAGCTAAAACTCTAGAATGCAATCTTAGTATGCCCAGGGATATTCCATCTATCACTGTAATGTTTCAAGCCACTTTAGCTAAACATGTCCCAAAATGTACCTACTGTCTTTTCTTAACTGAGTTTCAACTGAGCATGCTCAGAATACACTGCTTAGCTGAGCATGTTTAAGAATGGGCCAGCCCTTACATGAATAAAAATGTCTACAGTGAATAAACCCCCTGTGCTTTCTTTGTTTGAGGACGGCCTTGCTTTGGAAATAACTCCTGTATTCTTCCTGCCCAACACTGACAACAAATCTTTCTCCCCTCTTGTATGCCTCGGCTAAACTTATTTTGCTATTGAACTCAATAGCAAATAGATGTGAACCCATGGTGTTAGTCACAGAATCAATCCTCCCTCTTTTCTGAAAGTGGCTGTGATACTCACTGGCAGCCAGGCCTTGAGGACGCTTCTGTCCTTCCTCATGCAAATTTTAGTCTGAGGCTTGACTGTCTTGACGGTCTCTGCTTGAGAAGTTTTAGCGAGGAAGCCTGGTCATTAGACAACCCATTGATTCTCTCTCAAGCCAGAATTTACTTTCGGGAAGTACACTCTTTTCCAGTATGTGCCATCGCACCAGTTCCTCATCTTTGTTTCAGTCTTCCTCCAAGCGGACCTCCTGAGGCAACCCTTCTTCACTGTGATGACCATTAGTCCCTCCCATTATTTCCATTTGGCATGTCATCAAGCTTTCCCTTTAGCCTAGGTGTGTGTCAGGTCAAATACAGCCTACCTAATGGTAACTTCCAGAATCTGACATGCCCTCTGTTCTTCCTAGAGGCTGCTTGTTTGTTTGTTTGTTTGTTTGTTTGTTTGTTTGAGATGAGGTCAAGCAGTCCAGTCCTGGCTGACCCTTTCTAGATATTGTCTGCATTGTAGGTATGATACTCTCATAGATGTTCAGATTGCATAGGAATCTCTGAATTCTATAAGGAGATACACAAAGAGCTGGCCCAGGGCTTGGTTTGGCATATCCCATGGACTGAGGGGAACATTCTCTTTCTGTGCTCTCTTCCATCACCAAGGACTTTGGATTATTGTCCTGCCTCTCCTGCATCTCCTCTTCATCTCCTTCCTTCAGGGCTCGGTTAAACCCAGTCTTGTTTCATAGTCACCCCACAGGCGCGCGCACACACACACACACACACACACACACACACACACACACACACACACACACACACACACATTAACTCACCCTGCACCCGGATCTCCAGCTGAGGGCTCTGCTTCCAAACTTGCCTGTCCTCAGTAGCTGCCTCACACCAATAGGAGCCAGAGTGCTCTTCAGAAGCCTTGGGGATCTGGAGTTCTGCAGAGATGCCTCTGATACTCAGTGACCTTCCATCCTTGTAGAAGGAGAAGAGGAGGCGGGAAGCTGACCTCTGCAGGGACAGCTTTGTCTGACAGCTCAGGGTCACTGAGTCTCCCTCTTGGGGCTCACTAGAAGGTAAGGCTTTAAGAACTGGGGCTGGGAACAGTTCTAGGGAGAAGACAAACAGTGAGGAGGAGTTCAGCCATCCTGTTCTCAGCAGACCCATAACTTCCTCCGCCCATCCTTTCCTCTGGCTCCATTAGGTATGGGTTCTTTTAGAAAGATCCCATTTGAACTTTTCAGGTTCTTCTCTTCTTCTGTTCCCTTCTCTCACTCCCTCCCCCTTCTTCCCTCCTCCTTCTCTCCCTCCTCCTTTTTCTTCTACTTTCCTCCCTTTTAGGCAGGACTAGAAAAGATCCTTTGGTAAGCAAATCTAGCAGCAGTCTAGGTTTTGGATCTGTGGATAGCAGAAAGTATAGATCTGGATGGTTCTGGCCTCCCTATTCCTTCTCACCCGCATCTACCACAATACTCCCTCAAGCTCTCACCTTGGACTGTGATAGCCACGGGAGATGCAGTCTCTCTGCTTCCAGGACCAGGGCTCCTGAAGACACCACTACAGTGGTAGTGTCCACTGTCTGACTTTTGCACCACATCAATAGAAAATTCTCTTTTAGGTCCAGGAGGAGCCAGGGCTGAGCCCTCTTGGTAGAAGATGACCTGAGTCAGTGGCCAGTCTTGCCAAGCACGACAGTGCAGAACCAATGGGTCTCCTTCAAATATGGACGTATCTGGTCCTTGGAGGATCAGCCAATCTGTGGTCCAGAGTAAAAGCTGAGTGTCATCCACCACCCTTGAGAGGTCCCAAGTAATGCCCGTAACAGAACCCCTAAACTTTCCAGGCCACTTTCAACTCTTATTGGCCCACCTTAATGCTCTGTCCCCTTGAACTTACCTAACAATAGCAAAGCCTCCCCCCCCCCTTTGTCCTCTCTCTCTACTCCTGCCCTCTAGTCCCAAGGTGTACTGGAGACTGGGGAGCAATTTTCGCTTTGAATTGTACTTGGAGCTATGGATGGCTCACCATATTACCTCACCCTGTCCTGTGCCTTCACCATTGACCCAATGTTGAGAGAAGAATGACCCTAGGGTAGGACTGAGGACATTCTGTCTTCTGGAAACTGAGGATGAGAACTAAGTACCTCCACCTATGCCAGTTTCCTGGAGAGTCATTTCCTGAGTGGGCTAGGGTGCTATCAGTAGTGGTTTGAGACACTGCTCAGGCCTTCTTGGGACCTCACCATAGGAAACGATGAGATGGAAGGGTTTACTGAACTTGTAGCCCTTGACCTGGAAGTCCTCTTCACTGGCGTGGATCACATCCTCCTCCTCATCAGTGTGGCAGCCGCTCTGCTCAGTGCTGACAGGTCCTTCACACTTCAGAGTCTCCGAACTGGCAGCTGAGGAGGGATGACCCAGGGAGAACCAGATAATGATGCTGCAACTTAGAGAAAGAGGCTAGGAATGGCCCTCCACAAGGCCTCCTCTTCTGCCCCAGGAAACCGTCTTGTCAGGAGAAGAGGAAGCTATCAAAGCCCCTCTAAGAAACTCCTTCAGCCAGATGGCCTTGACCTTGGCTCACTGGTGTTTGGGCCCCTCAGTAAAGGAAGTGGGGGGTGGGGGTAGGGGGTGAAGCAGCTGTGAACTCACCAGCATGACATCCAGCTGTTGCTTGAGGAAACCAAAGGACAATGACAGCCAAGACCCCACACAGGTATTAGAGAGGAGGGAAAGATGCACATCAAAGTATAGCATTCGCTAGGTGCTTAGCATGTGTCCCACACGGCCGCAGAGCGTGCACTGTTTAATCTTCACGAGCCTTTCAAGTGTGTGACTTCACCATCATTTGGTGATCTTTGTTGATGATGATGTTTTATGAGTTACGTAGCCCAGGCTGACCTTGAACCTTTAATAATCTTCCTGCCTCAGCCTCCTATGTACTAGATTATAGGTATAAGGTACAATGCCTGGTTTCCCATCCTATAAATTTTAAAGACGCAGTTCTACAAAGTCAAATTTAAAAGAGTGAAAAGAAAAACTTGGGGTTCACTGGGGAGATAGCTCAGTTGGAAAACAACTTAGCTTGCACATAGGGGGATCAAACCCCAGTGCTGGAGAGTTAAAGACAGGAGGATGCCCAGCGACTGCTGGCCAACCAGCTAGCCTAGGCTACTAGGTGAGGCCTAGGCCATTGAAAGACCTTGTCATAACACCTAAGGAATGACATTTGAGGTTGTTCTCTGACCTACACTAACACGTGCACCAACACACATACAAACATGTATTACACACATATACACATGTACATTTAAAAAGGAAGGCAGGCAGGCAGGTAAGCCTGGTGGTAAAACATTTGCCTAGCCTGCATGAGGCCCTGGGTTTGATTCCTATACCACCCCAAGAGTCAAGAACGGAGCAAGAATGTCAGGTGTGTTCAAAAGCAGTGTCCGGTTTTCCTTCATGGCCCAAACATAGTCAATTTCAGTCCTTTGACCTTCCTTGGGGACATCCTGCACCCATTCTCATTTTCCCAAGACTCACTTGGCTCTTTAGCCTAGAATATGCTGTCTACCAGAGAGGTAGCTATGCCCTTCTTCCCTCCTTGCTTCCCTTTTCCAGTCTTCTTTTTTCTTTTTTCTCCTTTTCATTTTCTTGGTTTTTCAAGACAGGGTTTCTCTATGTAGCTCCAGATGTCCTGGAACTTGCTCTGTAGACCAGGCTGACCTTGAACTCACAGACATCTGCCAACCACTGCCTCTGGAATGCTGCAATTAGGGGCATGCACCACCACTATCGGGCCAAATCTTCATTTTTCAATTATCTCTTACCTTACTGTCCTCTGCCCTTGACCTTCCCCCAGCAATTGCAAAGCTGTCTCCATCCTCTCCTCTCAGCAACCCTTTATTGTCAGGCTGTTCTAGTAATGGTGGAACAATTCTTTGCCTCCAGGGTGAAACTTAGAGCGTCCTCCCCACATCTCTTCAATCTCTCTCTGAAGTCCATAACTGACCCCGGGTAGGTAAGTGTCACTTCTCCCAGCTCTGACTGTTCCTTGTGCCCCTTCATCCCTCTCTTCCTCCACCAACCCCCTATTCATATGCACTTATTTGTCCACACCAGTCTTCCTGTCCCGGCACCTTTATTCTCCTCCACTTCCAGTGTCGCTGGACTCTTTCTGAGTTATTAACTTCCCCATCGAGTCTACTTCCTAGTTCTCATTGTTTCGGTACCCAGTGTTTTCTTTAGCGCCTCTCAGCCCTCTTCTCTATTATGCTAACTTTTTTCAGTTCCTTAGCTGTCATAGGACTACACTCAGCCCCCTCTTGTTTTGTTTCTTTAAAATAATAAAATAAAATAAAACTACAGGGCTGGAGAGTTGGGTCAGCTGTTACCAATACTTGTTGCTCTTGCAGAAGACCCAAGTTTGGTTCCTGGCATCCACATGGTGGCACACAACCATCCTTAACTACAGTTGCAGGGGATCTGACACTCTTTTCTAACCTCTGCATGCACGTGGTGCATAGACATACATGTAGGCAAAACAGACAGAAAGTTAATTAATTAAAAAAATGTAAAGTCTTGTAGGCATAGCTGGCATCTCTACTTGATAAAGCTTATGTGGTTCTGTGGGGGTATTATCATTCTCATTTTTACAACAGAGAAAAGTGAATTCAGGTATATTAAAAGTGATTTTTATTTTGTTTTTTTTTTTGAGACTGGATTTCTCTGTAGCTTTGGAGCCTGTCCTGGATCTCACTCTGTAGACCACTTCAAACTCACAGAGATCTGCCTGGCTCTGCCTCTCAAGAGCTGGGATTACAGATGTGTGCCACCACTGCCCAGCTGTGATTTTTTTTAAAACAGGATTTTGTATCCAGACCATCCCTGGAGGATCTGGTATTTGCAGTGTAACTCGGGCTGACCATGAACTGGAAGCAATCCTCCTGCCTCAGGCTCCCTAGTCCCAAGATGACAGGTATAGGCCTCTATGCTCAACTGCAAGTGACTTTTTCAAAGTGATACAGAACTAGTAACTAGAAAAGGAGCTTGAAATCAGAGTATGTGGTTCCAAGACCACAGTTCTTGCTCCAAAATCAAAATTGCTGGGCCCCCCACAAATAGCTCTCGGTGTAGAGGAAGACCAAGCATGTAAAAGGGGTTATTGTAAGTGTGGATGTAAGCACTAAGAACGAAGCTTCACAGGCAGACACTGGGCAGAAAGGGGGGTCCAACAAGGCTTCTTGGGGGAAGATGCTAATCAAGGTGGAGTTTTTAAGGATACCTAGACGTTTGTAAAGGGGGGGGACTGGGGAACCATGACAGAGTTCATTTCAGATGGAGCTAAGTTATTATAAACAAAGCCTTGAGAGCAGATAACAACTGGGCTGTGAATGGAAATGTGGGTTGGTTGAGCTTTGGTTAGAGTAGGAATGGGAAGGCTTTGGGGGTGATGGAAGAAGGGACTGGAGAAGTTTAGTAGATGCCAGGTTTGGGGCTTCGTGTGCCATGACAAAAGATTGAATTTTAGAAGTCATTCTGGATATAGAGTGAAAATTCATTTCAGAGAGTCAAGACTGAGACATGATTAGTAAGGAAGTCATTTCACACCTTCAATCGAGGATGATACAGTCTTGTCCCAAGAAAGCGTTTGTAGTGACTGGTGATGAAAGCAATTTATTTAGGAGGTGAATTTTGCCAAAGTTGATGATTTCAGAGAATGATGAAGGAAGAGTTCAGAACTCCTCTTGGGTTTCTAGCCCAGGTCCAAGGAGTGATGGTGCAAGGAGCTGAGATCAGATAGAGTCAAAGGTGAATAAAAAGAAGTAAGGGTCTGGAGGACAGATGAATTCAACTCTGATTATGTTATATTGGTACCTGTGACACACAGAGAGTCAAAATGTCTTGTGTAAAGCTCAACATTCGAACGTGAAAGTCAAAAGCATGATCAGAGCTGGAAATGTGCCCTGAGGCTCTAAAATAGACAACTGTTATAGATGAACCATGCAGATCCATTTCCACGATCTTATTAGAAGACTTTGTGAGAAAGAGAGTACAGGGGTGAGGATCAAACGGTAAAGGACAGAGTTTATAGGAGGGGAAGAAAATCTACCAAAGGACCAAAAAACATCCAAGCAGTAAACAGAGAAAATGCAAGAGAGCATCAGCAACAAAGAAATCCATCCGGACAAACTCTGAAAAGTGTACAATGACCTTGTTAGTGCAAAGGTCACTGCACCCTAGGTAACCAAGCTCTACAGGAAGCCACGCTGCAGGCCCTGAAGGGTAAGTGAACCTGAGGGGGAGATGGCAAGCCCACATGACTCTTCCAAGAAAGTTGTGTTAGAAAAGCAAGAGATAAGATTCGCAGCTGGCAAAGGATTCATCGTCAGAAGGGACTTTCAGGATGGAAAATATCTGAATTTTTCTATTTAAAGAGAGCCATTCAGTCCTGCACACCAGACTTGTCTTCTATCTGTCCTTGTCCCACCTGAACAGGAATTCTTTACAAATCCAAAGTCAGTCAATGTTTCTTACCTTTGAGTTTTGTTTTGTTCTGGTTTTTCCCCAACATTAGGCGTATCTCATTTCCACACCAACATCCAAACATTTACTTACCCAATAACATCTGGGTTGCCAGGAGCACAGCAGGACAAACAGAAAGAGCCCATGCCATGAGGACACAGCTCAGCTTCATGGTGCTTATGTTTGCACCTCCCACAACCCCAACATGAAACCTCTCAAATTAGAAAAGAGGAAATAAATGTAACTGTCTTGTCTCCACACACCTGTGGCCAGGTCTGTGATTGGCTCTTCTCATTCAGGTTTGGCCAGGTTGGTTCTACGCCATCTTCATTCTTCAGATTGTAGATGAAATGCTAGGACTCTCAATTGTTACAGTTTTTTTTTTTTTTCTCGTGGAGCTCAGGGAACTTTCAAAATGTGTTATTGACTGATGATCAACCGGCCTTCGTATTATATCTGGAAGAGGTTGACATGACAACAATCCAGCTCACAGGAGACAGGAGGTAGAAAATTAATGGGAGGAGACCTCTGGGGCGTGAATGATGTGATGTGGGAAGGTCCTGCTCCAAGCTTTTCATCTGCCCAGTAATTAAAACTCAGCAGGAGAGAGAGGGGATTGATGGATAAGGCATCAAATAAGTCTCTACTGGGCTCAACCCAACTAAAGCCCCATCAAACTTCTACCAGAATTTCTCCTGACCTGTGTCTTAGCTTTGTTTCTGCAGCATAATATAGGCTGTTAAGTCTCAGTGGAAATCTGATACAAGGCAGAGTTATTATCTGGGAAAGAGCAAAAAGAAAAAGGAAAACCATTACCCAGCCCCAGCCTCAAGCCCAACACTCAGGATCCCTGCCAAAGCTCAAAGCACTGGTTCTGGGGAACTTGAAGACAAGGAGTTTCCAGTCTTTGAACAACTGGAAGAGACTGGGGAACATGGGTGATGCGGAGACCACACCATTTCTCTTCAACTCAGTGTGGACTTACAGGAATCACTGCCCCTGAGTTCAACTGTTTGCTCAATTGCAGGACCTGTGCTTGTCTGCACAGTGACCACACTCTTCTACCCTCACTTGTCACGCCACCCACCCCAGGTCCCAGGTAGATTTGAAAGTGAGCGGTGTCTTCAGAAATGTAGGTAATGAAGGCAGAGGGTGGGACTCATGGCTAGTCAGTTATGGCAAAACAGACCAGGGCAGGCAGGTCAGCAATGCGGGCATGGCAGAGTGCAGTTTTCTCCACATAGTAGAAGCAGTTAGCCTCCATTTTCCATTATGTAAGAAGTAAATGGTTTTTTGTTGTTGTTGCAGATGGCCCCAGGGAGCCCAGAGCAGGTTGAACGTGGGTGTGGGGAGGCAGTGAGGCAGTAAGTCTTGCAGCTGATGTGGTAGAGACTCAACAGCCTCAGAAGAGGAAGAACAATCTAACAAGAAAAGTCACATCAATAAACCGTGTTTAGATGGACGCTCACCCCTAAAACTGTGTACCAGACCTTCTCATTATACAGGACAAAAATGGCTTTTGAAAAACTATGGTGATTTTTTCCCTTCCCTTAAAACCCCTTGATAAAGCCGGTGGTGGTGGCACACGCCTTTGATCTCAGCATTTGGGAGACAGAGGCAGGTGGATCTCTGGATCTACAGAGTGAGTTCCAGGACAGCCAGGACTGTTTCACAGAGAAGCCCTGTCTCAAAAAAAAAAAATCCTTGATAAATACCCCCTGTGCCATAGACACTGGTCTTGACAGAACCCCATCTCAATGAAGAAAGCAAGAAGGCCTCTGAAGGTATCACTTGAAGGTCATGTTCTTTACACTTGATTGTCCAATTAGCCATGAGACAATTAACACAGCTGAAGCTTGATCAATGAACTATTCTGGGTAAGTGAGAAATCCCCATGTCAAGAAACTCAAAGAAGTAAAATAAGGATAGCTACATGCTGGGGAAACACATTCAGTTCATGGAGTTAGTTCTGCTATCCAGGTCACCCCATACTAGTCACAAGGACATGGGACAAAGCCCAGCTCTCATCCATCCCAAGGCCAATTAGTCCTTTGCAGCCTTCCTCAGTTGTTCTTGGCTTGTCACCAGTGGGCCAATATATCTATTTTAGCAAGGTTCTTTTTTGTTTGTTTTTATTTATGTATATGTTTGTATACCTGTTTGTCTATGTGTGCAGCAAGGGCATGCAGGTGCCCTTGAAGGTCAGAAGTGAGCATTGGATCTTCTGGAACTGGAGTTACAAGTGGTTGTGAGCAGGCCGTGTGGGTGCTGGGAATTGTACCCTTGTCCTCTGCAAGAGCAAGTGCTCTTAACTGCTCAGCTGTTTCTCCCGTGTGTGTGTGTGTGTGTGTGTGTGTGTGTGTGTGTGTGTGTGTGTGTGTGTGTGTGTGTGTATGAGGGTTTGTGCATTCATGTTTGTGTGTGCCAGGACATGACACATGTGGTCAACTCATGGGAGTTGCTTCTCTCCTTCTACCACATCCTGCAGACTGAACTCTGGTTGTCAGACTTGGCATTACCCATTGAGCCATTTCATCATTGCAGGAATCTATGGATGTTTTAAATATGAATTATTTATCAATTGTATGTTCCATGAATGCTTTTCAGTATGTGACTTGCCTCTTCACTTTATGCATTCTTTTTTATTTGGGGGGGCACATGGAGGAGTATACGTGCACAGGTATTAGCAGGGGCTTATGCAAATCAGGTGTCAACCTTGGAGGTCATTCCTCCGGAGCCAACTACATTGCTTTTTGAGACAGAGTCTCTCTCTGGGACGTGAGGCTTACCAATTAAGCTGGGATGTCTGGCCAGAGAACCCCAGGGAACTGCCTGTCTTCACCTCCTCAGGAGTGGGATTATAAGCATGTGCCATCATGCCCAGTTCTTTATGTGGGTGCTCGGAGGTCAAACTCAGCTTAGTATGCTTGGGGGACAGGCACTTACAGACTGAGCTAGCTCTGCAGCCTCACTTTGTGTGTTTAAGACCACTTTATTGAGATAAAAGCACATACCCAATACACATATTTAAATAGTAGACTTTGATGGATTGGATGAACTATGCACATGTAAAACTGTTGCCAGAATAAGATAAACAAAGAGGTGGCTCCTGAAATGTTTTTGTGTCCTCTGTGAACTCTTTCCACTTAACTTTTTCCAAGCAGCCACTAATTTATTTAATGTCACTATGGCTTATGGAACACTCTCTGTAATCCTATGTAAGTTAAATTATACATCATATCCTTTTTGTCTGGGTTTCTTCCATTCAGTATAACCGTTTTCAGACACATTTTTGTTGCATCTGTGAGTAGCATCTGTAAAATTGGTGGATGGAATTACCAAACTCTGCTTATGAATTGACATACTGCTTAACCATTAGTTTGCTTCTATTTAAGGCTATGACAAACAAAGCTATTATGTGCTCTCAGGTACACTTTATTGCATAGACATAAAGCTTCATTTATGTTGGGCACCTAAGAGTGGACTGGCTGGATCCATACAGGTATGTTTTTAGATATGTATGTATATACTTTAGCTTTTTAACTTTTGTCTTACTTTATACATTTAGTTTTGCTTTTGTGAGACAGGATCTCTCTATGTAGCCCTGGTTGTCCTGGAATTCACTGTGTAGAACAACCTGGCCTCAAACTCATAGAAATTGGTCTGCTTCTGCCTCCCAAGTGCTGTCTTTGTTTTTGTTTTTGAATCTTTTATGTGTGGGGGTGTTTTGCCTGCATGTCTGGCTGTGAATCTACAGAGGCCAGAAGGAGGAGTTACCAACAGTTATTAGCCACCATGTGGTTGCTGAGAATCAAATCCACATCCTTTGGAAGAGTAGCCTGTGCTCTTAACTGCAGACCCATTCCTCTAGTCCCCTACCCCAATTTCTTTTAATAGTCTGACACAGGGTGCTATAGTGTAGATCTCATTGGCTTGGGACTCACCATCCAGCCCAGGCTAACTTCAAATTCACAACAACCCTCCTGCATTAGCCTCTTAGAGTGCTATACAGGCACGAGATGCCACATCTTGGCTTTGTTTTTAGACTTAAGGAGAATGCTAAACATTTTTCCAGATTGTATTAGTCAGAGCTCTCCATAAAAATAAAACTAATATAAACATATGAGGAACTTATACTAGATTTTGGCCCATGTGCTTACGAAAATGATCAAGTCCCACCTGCTTTCTGCAAGCTGGAGAACCAGGAAAACTTGCTCTATACTTCAAGCCCAAGGGCCTGGCTATCAAGGAAGTCTGTGGTTTCTCAAGCTGAGTCTAAAGAAGAAGTGAGAAGCCAGAGTGCTGATATCTGAGGGCAGGAAAAGATGGAAGACCCAGTTCAAAGAGAGAAACCAGGTGCCACTTCCTCTGCCTCCAGTTTTCTCAGGTCCTGAACGGGATGGGTGTGGGCCTCCCACAGTGGATAAGGGCAGATCCTCTTTCCCCAAACTACTGACAGCATACTTGAATTATCTTCCACCCATCTGGCCTCTCCTCCATCTCGACCAGCCTGCCGTCTGTCTGTCTGTCTGTTCTTTCATCTAGACTGTGGGGGACCAAAGTATTTCTGCTATGGAATATTTTGAGACTCAGCCTTGGGTCTCACTAAACATGGAGCACCGGAAAGCTCCGGCCCACTAGTGTATTGTTAATGTCAGTAAGGCTACTACTGTTTACCATGGCCTGAGGGTAATATGCCTCTTATTTGTATGTGCCTAAGCATCTGAATAGGCCCTCACCTGGGCGGAGGAGAGAGGTGTGTGAATAACTTGTGAATATAGAAGGTTAGGAAGAGAGGCAAGCAGCCAGAGCATCGAGGGAACAAAGAGAGAAATGGTTGCCTCATGGTATTAGCAGGATGGTTAAGAAACACCAGAAAAGATGGCTAATAAAGAAATGACTCTAGTTCCACAACATGGAACTGAGAGCTCTCTAAAGATGACAAGATGCCTGTGTTTGGTCTTTATCGCCGTTGGGTTGCTCGGAGCTTCCAGGTCCACACACCCCCACACTCAGGTAGAACCTCATGGACTGAGGCTGAGACAAGCTGGGCCACGACACTGGACCAGCTCCCGCTCTTTGCTTTTAGGGCCTCCTTGGTCCAACACTTTGTTTCTGTCGCCCTCTGACCTTACACCCTGACTCCACAGCAGTAGTCAGCACAGTGTTTCC